GGGGGGGGGGGGGGGGGAGGGGGCAAAAGGAAGACCGCTGGGATGGGCGAACATGGGAAGCGTGCAACACAGAACACGGAATTGAGCTCGCCGACAAATTTAAACCATATCGTCATCACCCATGACAACGAGGAGTGCCGAAAAAAGGACAGGGGTGGGTGGGGTTGGGGGCGACTGGAAAACACAAATGGGGGGTGAACGATCTGCCACCTCCCCTCCTCCCCCCCTTTCCTTCCCCGTTCCGTATCAACCACAGAAAAAAAGGCTCTCCTAACGACTCCATTTGCTTCAAGCACCTGTCTCGGCCCGCTCGAGGTCTAGAGCACTATTTTCTCCAAGCACCAATCTCGGCCCGCTCGAGGTCTAGCGCCCGGAATCGCTCCTCATTCTCACAGCATCCGCCAAGCCTCCACTAATCATTGGATATCTACTGCTGTTGTAGCTTGTTCCTCCTGGCCCCCTCGCCTGCCCCCGCTCTTCCATGCCAACAAACTTAAAAGCTATGCCAACGTCAGACGCGCTACTACTTGTGCTGCTGCAGCTGCCGTAGATTCTGTTGAACTGCCTCATAAAAGGGACTCACACTCTGTCGCATAACATGCACGCCTCCTGCTCTTCGTCGGCGACCCATCTAGGGGGCCCCGTGCCTTCGCCCCCTTCCCCTCCCCCTGCTTCGCCCCCGGCCCCCGTCCTCCGAAACAAAGCTTCTTGGCAGAAGTGCCGTCGAAAGGCTTGGCCGACCCCGTCGCACCCGCCGGTAACGCTCTTGAAGAGGAGCTTCAGCGGGTCGCGGGCGGCGGCGGAGGCGGCGGCGGCGGCGGAGGCTTCGCTGCTTCCTTCCTCGTTGTCGCTGCCGCCGTCGTCCGAGGCCTCTCCTTCCCCGCTCGCCTCCAACACAGCCTGTTTTCCAAAGAAGATTGTCATTGGGGGNTCATTGGGGGGGGGGGTGATGAAAAGTGGACATGGTGCAAGGAGGAGGAAGAGGAGGAGGAGGACGAGTGGCTTCATGCGCAGCGTACGTGAGGCGTCGTGATGAGCGGCGTATCTCAGACAAGTCAGTCGCCGAAAAATCAACACAACGTCAGGTCTGGGGGGTGGTACGCTTCTTCCTGTCGAAGGGCGAAACTTTTTTCTCTGCGAGCGAGCGCAATATTGGTCACGAGAAGGCACGTGGGCCCTTTCTTTTCTCCCGGTGGGACGACGACACCGGACCGACCATCCTAATCCTTTGCACTTTTAGTGCCGACAGACGGACAGACGGATTCACTGCTACCACTTTACTCTGGCCCGTACTTGTCCCATCAATTTCTACCTCCCCTCGTGTGCCGACCGAAGTCAATGGTCAAACGACTATGGCATACACGACTATGAATACACCCCTGCCCCCCCCCCCCCCCCCCC